GCCATCGGCATCTACGACATCGCCGAAGTAAGCGACAGCCATTCCTTTAGGAAGGTGCCGGCGCTCAGCACTGAAATTAGTCAGCAGCAAGTCCGTGCGTCAAGCAGCAACTCTGACGATACCTCGTGCGATAAAATACCGTGGGTAAAGAGCAGCGAGCTTATTTGGTCTGCAACTCTTTCGGCGTCAAACTGAGAAGCGGCGGCCACCGAAACAAGCGTTGATGACCTTGGCGGGAGAACCACGTCGTCATCAGTAATACGCAGTTGGTTTGGTCGCGCCTCTAGAGAATTGCGTGAGCCCGAACTGTTGCAAAACGTAATCAAGCTCTCCGGTATGTTGATGACGGCGCCATATTTCCGTGAAAAATCTATGCCAAGAATTACATCCCTGCAGCATGCGGCGATAACGACGAACGACGCAGTGACAGGAGAACCTCTGATTTCAACTCTTGCGGTACATCTTCCAGAGGGCATCAGTAACTGGCCCCCTGCTGTTCTCATGTGAGGGCGCGTCCACAGGGTCTGCACTTTTCTGAGGCTGTCGGCGAGGTCGTGATTGATAATAGAGAATTCGGCACCAGTGTCGACTAAAGCTGTCACTTTCTGGCCGTCAAGAAGAACACTAAGGTCGGCAGTCACAATTTCATCCTTTTCACAGCTTATCGGCTGTACGACGTCATGCTGTGGGGGCTTCTTGTCATCATATTTATGGCCTGCAACATTGCCCCTGGAGGTCGCCGCCCTCAGTTTCCCCGTCGCGGGCTAGGGGACCTTCTTGTACTAAGATCCGCGTAGGTGCGGCGGTGCGACAAAGGTGAACGCGCGGGGGATGGAGAGCGGGATTGACGTCTCAGACTAGGAGGGTGGGTAGGCAATGCCTCCTCTTCTGTGGTACAGCCATCCTCAAAGTGAGAACGGGCTCCATAAAAAGGGGTGTCGTCACGGCGTGGCGTGTATTCGTTGTTGGTACGTCGACCGTCAAACCAAGGTCAATGATGACGGAATGAATCACCTCGATGCCAGCAACGACGAGCAATATGGCCTGCACCTCCGCAGTGAAACATAGTGGACGTCTGTCCACTGTGTGCCATGCATCGGTTTTGCCAGTCGGTAAACGTCTAAGCATTTCCCTTGGCGTAACTGCCCATGGGGTGGCTGTGGACGGCTGGTTGTATAACCGTAGCGTGGGTGGTTGATGCAGTGTCTGCTCTTGCGGCGGAGACCAAGGCACCATGGGCACCTGGTGGTACTGCGTCGGCATAGTGGGTGGTGGACGTCGAAGAGCGGCAGCGTAGCTCATAGGACGCTGCTGAGTATCAGTACTAGTCGTAGACAATGCTTGGTGAATTTCGTCACGTACGACTTCAGCAATCGACGCGATAGGATTTTCAGCAACCAGAGTCCGTAACCTCTGCAGTTGTTCGCGAACTATCTCCCTAATCAACTTTCGTAAGGAGGTCTGATTCTCAGACGTCATAGCGTTTGCGTTGATCGGGACATTGCAGGACATGCGGTCATATTGCCTGCAGCGTTGTTGAATGGCCCGCTCGATAGCCGTAGCTTCCTTAATGAAGTCAACCACGGTACTTGGAGTGTTGCGCAGTAGCCCGGCGAAAAGCTGTTCCTTGACACCGCGCATGAGGTAACTCAACTTTTTATCTTCCGTCATTTGCGGGAATTAGCTCAATGAAAAAGACGAGTCATGTCCTCGGCAAACATGGCGACGGTTTCGTTGGGTTTTTTAACCCGTATCTTCAATAACTGCTGCGCATGATCCCTTCTATCGACATTGGCGAAGGTATCGACGAACCTCTGTCGAAAGTCAGGCCAAGCTGACAAATTGCCTTTCTATTTTCATACCAAGTACGAGCACTGTCGTCAAGGTAGAAATAGACGCGAGAAAGCTTTTCCTGTTCCGACCACTGATTGACCTTGGCAACACGTTCGTAGTTGTCAAGCCAGTCGTGGACTCTTCATGGGCACCACCACTAAAGCGATCGGGAACGAGGGGTTGAAAGATGGTCACCTGAGATGGGAGCATCGGAAAGCTGTCTTGGGGCACCTGTTGTGGGCTTGCGTTGGCCTTTGGTTGAGGTGTACGGTGCCTAGGAGGTTCCGGCGAGTGAGTGAGCTCAGGCGGGAGGCCTCGCAACCATCGACTGGAGCGATGCACTGGAGTTGCTACCGGTGACAATGATTCTGGACTCGATGAACAGCTCCCAGTGGGCGTGTGGAGCATCAGACAGGATTACAGCCCAGCTCCTCCACCAGTGTCACGGTACAACGCGAATAAAACAGAGGTACACCTTGAGGTAATGAAAGCAGCGTGTTTTAAACAGCTGAGCCACAAGATCGTCTTCTTCGGTCTCGAGTGAAGCTTGAGGCCCACTACCTCCTGTCCACTAAACCCCCCATCATTGTTTTCGTCCACATGTAGACACGCGTCAATATGTGTGGTTTGACATCCCAAAACCACCATATGATTATGAGAGACGCCATAGTGGAGGGCTGCGGAAATTTTGACCACCTGTGCTGGTTTACCATGCGCCCAAATCTGGGCACACGCGCCTACAGCATTTTCACCTCAACTGAAAATTCAGCCGCCGCCGCCGGAACTCAATCCCGCGACATGCGGGTCAGTAGCCGAGTACCTTAGCTACTAGACCGTGCACCGCGGCAGGGCCCCGTGTTTCCTGTAAATTCTATACCCAATGAACGTAAGTTCTGAATAACTAATGCCGCAGTGGAGTCATGTTTCAGTGAACTCAATTACACCTGTGCTATGAGTATTCACAATAGTTGTGAGATATACCATTTTGTTCCTAACGCCGCGGGCACTAACATTCAGAAAACAAAACGTTCAGTGGTTGCAAATCCTTCATCATTTACCTCGTGCACGTGTTCACTGTGTTTGGAAAGAAGGACGATTGTCATTTTGGCAGCGTTTTTTTTTTCAAACCGTTCATTGTTATTTCTATCCTTGTAGTGAACCAGACTCGCTACTTTTCCTTAGCGCCTTGCACGAGCAGTTATAAATCAAAGGTGTTTACTAAGCTATCTGGTCGCAGCTGAAAACTTTTCAGAAATTTATACACTGCTTCCTTTTAGTTAAAAAATTTTTTTGAGCCACATAAATTTTTGTGGCGGTCAAACAGTTTAATAAGTATAGCCGTAATCTGTCCAATTTTCCCGTAACAACCTCGTGCATTACTCGAACGGATAGTACTTTATAGCTGAGTTTGTTCCGGAACAGGCCCTTGACCCACTTTCTGTGATAGATACTCAGCGAATATTTTTCAGTTATTCCTTCTACCTCGATCCTCAGGTCAACAAACTTTCTTTCCAGGTTTTGAATCGTGTTTTCTATATTAGCTATTTTTTCGTGAGCTAACTTCTTTCACTAGTTCCAGGTTTTTATTTGTGAACCTAATTATCTGCATTTACCTAGTTTTAAATTTGTTTCTCTGTCACTCTTCCTGCCCAGTATTATTTATATAGATTTTAGGGATTGTTTATTATTAGTTATTCAATTTTTACCTTATGAAGCACATGCAGCTGATAGTTACATGAAGAATAAGCGTTCCAGATTGGATGTACATATAAGTCAAAGGTCTGCTGCCAGAGCCAGATTACGTAGCAAAAGGCCTTTTTAGAATGAATCAAATAATAATATTTCCCGCAACCTCTGTTGTTCTGTTCACTTTAATTGCAGCGTGCCTTCTAGAGCAGGAGTCTATAACACACAGGCGTCTATAACACACAGGCCGAACGCAGCACGCCTACTTTTCAATTGCCTTAGACATGCAACACTTCATCGCATGCTTTTAAAATGACTCTGCAACTGTTCATGACATTGCTATATGCTGCATACAATATTTTTCGCCCATCGTAAATAATAGTGCTGTATTTGCGGAATGTACACACAAAACAATGGTGTCATTTACTTTTCTTAAGATTGTGGTCCCCTTGTCTTGTACGACCACCATAAACTCAAAATTTTATATTCCAGGACGGTGTTTATATTGCGGTCCTTGTGATGATCGGCATCGCTATGTTTATGGAGTCCTCATCCATATATGAGAACTGGAGCAGTATATTACGAATTAGAAAAGCATATGAAATCGCAACGTTAGGTCACAATATATAGTCAGCCCCCCTTCACCACTTCTTCACTGTCTCGGCCCTTTCCGGAACTAAATTTCGTGAAGGCCAGTTTGGGACTTCTCTTATAGCCTATGTCGAGCTAATACTTTGTGGTGGCTGCACGAGGTGCCTCTCACAAGTGCACAATTGAAGCGCTGTCATCTGTTCTTATTCTCACTTTCATTTTTACATATTCATTTTGGCTTCACTGATTGCTATACTTCTCTTGTTGCACATGAAACCAAAAGAGTAGCCAAGGTGCACCGGGGTCCGTCGCTGTCGTCACATAACAGATTTATAAAAGGAGAATATGATATTTATTGCAGCTCAAAGATAGAATGGCAATATAATAAATAATTGTGAATTTTCGAGGCTAGTCAGAGGTATTTTACGGCACTCTGCCGAACATAGGTTCTTGTTTTTTTATAGGAGGGGAGCAATTTGGTCCTTCCGGAAAAAATAACGCTTCATTGTGTGCATGGAAGCTCGTTATGTGAACGAACGGCACTATTGTTAGGGTGCTTATTTAAGTGTCCAACTTGAAGTGTCCCCGCTTTGCTGTTCCCACTATCACAACATGTGCCTATATAATCGCTCAAAATATACATATTTTATTGACCATAAATATTTCACCAAAACAAATAATTGAACACTACCAAAATACGCAACTCATTACACAAAGCATTTTCATGAGTACTCGTATAACAATAGGTTTCATCGCTTCTGCATTCGAGCAGAAATGAGAGACCAGGTGTGCTCTAGGATGGCTGGAATTGCCTTTGAAGAACGTGTGAGCGCTTTCCTCGCGAATGAGGAAGTGCTTAGCAGTCACCGAGGAAGGCGTCAATCCGTTGCTATTCGAAGGGCAAACTGTTCTCTGCCGATGACCGACAGGGAAGTGCGGCGATCATCGTCGGGCCACAGATATTTCCTACAGAGCCTTTCTTCGGCACGGTGCTCAGTGGTGGGCATCTTTTCTGCGCGATATCTAGCACTACAACCTATTTCTTCAGGTACCCAATCAATGTAAATGAAAATACACGAAACTATGCCTGCACCTCGTGCTTTCAGCTATCACTGCAAGCGAAGCAAACTAAGGTGCCAGCGTGCCAAAGGTCTTGAAATGAAGACGCGACAGTGGCTCACCATTGGGGTCATGTGCTGCTTCCTCTCTCATATGCCTGTGTCATTGGCTCACCACGTAGAGGAGTCTAGCCCCAACAGCACCATGCTTCCGACGCAGCAAAGCTCAACTGCCAATCTGGCCACGAAAATTCGCCATTTTGCTGGCAACTTCGCGCAAAGCATACCACCATGGATCAAGCAGCGGATGCTCCAGGCAGAAGTCTCGATTGAGTGTTCCTTAGGTCTGCTGAAGACTCTTCGTGGTCTCTCCAACTTGGAACCATGGACACTGCGCAGTAAGCCGGACACCACGATTGAGTTTTTTTGCTAGTACAATAGAGTAATGGGCACATTCTGGCAGCCCTTTTTGAACCAACCAGAGAGCGGGTAAAATAAGTGCCAGCGTTTATATATACGTGATATTTCGTTATGTTGTCATGCGATTTTCTGGTCAAAACATGAACACAGGGCTAATAGTCTAGGCTATTAAATGTACATTGCAGGATTACTCCAATGCCGAATTGCCATTTCCAGATATCATAGGCATAGATATCTGTGTCTTCAAATCGGTAACATTGAGCGGGCCCATCGTGTTGAACCCCGTCAAGAAGAATATAACTGTTCCCTCGTTGTTAAACTCGTCAGTTATAAAAATAAAGAGTCAGCCCTAGGCAACACATGTAGACTAAAGATATCTTAAAACCAAGCTTCTTCTTGATAGAAGACTTCCTGCCCCGCATTCAGTTATCTTGAAAGAAGCTTCTTGACTACGCATGTGATAACCGTGGCTGAAACGAAAAAATGAGGCTAAGCTTCCATTCAACTGGTCTAAAAATCAGTCGTTAGTGATATAATGATGTCACTGACAAAATCAGCGTGATCATTCCGAAAAAAAAAAACATCACACTCACAACCTGGCCACTTAAGCAACGCAGGCTCAAAAAAGAGCTGATAATCTGTACTGATTGGCGCGTGTTACAAAAGCAGCACAACCTAAACTCTGTTGTTAACATGAGCTTCACTGATCCCATTATCGGCACGGAAACGTGGCTAAAGCCAGACATTGATACCCATGAACTTTTATCTAATAGGTTTTCGGTGATTCGCACAGATAGACTTTGCGGCAAGGAATGTAATGTGTTGATTAATGTAAAAAAAGACACATTTACCAACAGCCTTTCTTCAATGATAGCCCCCTTTAAACTGCATTACTAGCATGCTATTTAAACCACATAACGTTTGTAATAGGCAATTTTTAAAGAACATTCATTATCACTGAAACTTCGTCAAAGAACTTGCCATTGTCATTGCTTACGTTGATAGTGAGTTTAGGGCACGCAACGCAATGATTGGAAATAGTACCTAGCCGGGTATTAATGACGTATCTATAAAATCACGTACCACTGTGTAACGCGGCAATACCATGATTCTATTGATATGTTTTGATTTGTTTTAAAATGACGCAATTGGTGCACACGCTACACCCAGAGACGCAATTATTAAATTTTCAATTACAACACACTCTGATCACGATAGAACAACTGTCCTAGAACAGATCATTGACCACACATTTATTCACTTTCTCATTAAAAAGAAACCAACAAACCTCAGTCCTGTACTGAAAAAGGGAAAATTGTTCTAAAGTCGATCTAGATAAGGTAGAAAATGAAAGGAAAACGATCTTTTTTGAGAATTTTGAACATATTCATATTAACGTTTTCACAAAACTGGGCGCAGTTTGCGAGATATTAGACGAGGTTGATCACTGAAGCTAAAAGTAAACAGTGGTTGATCAGATGTATAAAGCATTTGCTGAATAAAATATATTACATGGAGTTTAAAGTCTGAAATTTATAATATCAAAATTATAGTATCGATGGCTTTAATATCATTATTAGAGACGCTGTTGTGGTGGGTTCCAAAAATTTTGACCTTCTGATGTCCTTTAACGTGCATTGATATCCCAGAGTATACGGATATTTAGCTTTTCAACTCCACGGAAATACGACCACGATGGCCGGGATTGGACTCGGAACCTTCAGATCAGCAGTCGAGCATTATATAGCTGGAAAACAAAAAGTGTTTTTACGCAAAATGTACTTCCACCTTTGGACTGCATATTTTACAATGGCGAACACCTTTGAACAAAAAGTGAGAAAAATAGGAAATACAACTACTTTTATACAGACTTGCCCAACTTCGTGAGAGATAATCCAAAAAAAAGTTTGGGAAGGTGATATCTCCTGGAACGTAGAAAGAATGACCCCATGTATGTCCACCAGATTATTATCCTTTCAGTGCAACAAATTTTACGCATGCTTTCCATTTATATTTTGTAGTATTTTGTTAGAGAGAATCCGTTATTATTGACAGGATGATATATAACATTGCACTTGATTGAGACGTCCATCTCATGTCTCGTATATTTATAACCTCCAATAGAGTGAAAAGCCACCGAACATTTTCTGTTATCTTCAGTCCTGGCTCCGATAGTATAAGCATAAAATTGTTTAGACTTTCTCACGTTTTTTCAGCACTTCCTCGCGCACTAAGTTTAAACAATTATTAGGGAACCTCAAATTATTCACGACGGGAAACTTGCAATTTAGTGCTGATATGTGAAAAGGGCGATACAAATAAAATGGGAACTAATTGTCCAATATTTTTTTAAAAGCAAACATTTTTTGCGTAAAGCAAGCACTTTTGGCGTATATCTGCGTATCTAACCATCTAGCCGCTTACGTCTGGGTGCTCTCGTGATCATTCTGTTCACTTGGCGTGAACCAATATTAGCATGCGAGGGTAAGGTAGTTTGACGAATATGGCGCGTTTTTCAAGACATGAACACTATTACAATTCCTTCACATACGTCTTCGATACTTCCCGCCAAACAACGGCACATACCCGGGGGCAGGCATATACCACGGGTATGCACGTATGTACCACATCTGATTGACACCTATTATCTACCAAGGAACTACGAGAACACACATGGGTAATTCCAACGCGTGAGCGTCAACACAAACTTGATATCGGCAGCGTCGACCAGACGAATGCACAGAATGAATGTCAGAATCCCAGCAGTAACCGAACCCAAGCATTCTGCGTCGCAATCAAGCATTCTAACACAAAGCTACGTCAGGTCTCGGAGCCACTTTTCAAATATTTAATGGCCCCGCCGCGGAGCTCGAGTGACAAAGGTGCTCAGCTGCTGAACTGCAGATCGCGCGGTCGAATTCTGCCGGCGGCTGCATGCATTACTGATGAATTGATTGATGGATATGTGCGGTTTAAGGTCCGAAAACAACCATATGATTATGAGAGACGCCGTAGTGGAGGGCTCCGGAGATTTAGACCACCTGGGGTTCTTTAACCTGCACCCAAATATGAGTACACGTGCCTACAATATTTCCGCCTCCATCGGAAACGCAGCCGCCACAACCGCGATTTGATCCCGCGATCTTCAGATCAGCAGCCGAGTACCGTAGCCACTAGACCACCGTGGCGGGGCTTTATTAGGTCCTTCGAAATGCTTTTTAGCACGTTGCGTGCCGCTCGCACGTCGAAACAGAAAGATCAAGTCTCTCTGTCACGTCGTGGGCCCGTTAGATTTCCGATAACTGTTCGAGTTCGGAGCTGCTAGTAGCACCCTCCTATTTGAACGGCGTGATGACTTCACCACAGCGTAACGCGGGGAACCGCCAGAGTATGTGTTCTAAATTTGCTATATCATTGCAGAAGGAACATATACTAGTTCGATGTATTTCAAAATAAATCTTGTGCAATAGCACGGGGTGAGAACACGCCCCGACTTGAAGAAGCGTGAGTATCAGAGCTTGAGGTCTGTTGTGTGGTGGTGGGCATTGTCTCCCCGGCAGGCAAAAATGTTTTGCAGTTTGTTATACGAGATGGGAAGGTCCAGGTTTTGCCAAATATCAGTGCCCCTCTCCCCATTAGCTACGCAGTTCACTAGTCGTCACGCAGCTATGTGGGCTGACTCTTTGAGATCGGGCGGGGCTCCCTCAATGCATTCTATGTGCGCTGGGAACAAAACGTGTGTGTGGGGCTTGATCTCCTTGTCGCGAAAGATCCGTAAAGCCGGTTTCAGTATCGTGCGCTTGGCAAATAATCTGACCACCGTTCTCGAGTTGCTGTATATTGCGGACCTCTTGTTGTCCAGCAAGGCGAACGTTGTCCGGAACATTGTGGTGTTTATGAAACACCAGTGCCACTGTGTACAAGCCTACAGCGCCATGCCTGATTATGGGCTGAATAGCGCTGGTCCCAGCGCCTCCCAGTGCATGTACTGGAACGCTGGAGCAGCAGCGTCCTAGTACTCTGCGCAAAATGGCTTCACAGAAATAAAACGAAGGTGCCCATTCACTATAAATAAATAAATATATAAGTAAAATAACGCGCATTCACAATTACAGTAAAACAATGAAAACTTAAGAAAAAAAATAAAACACCTCTTGGCGGAATTCGAACTTGCTACCTCCTGATCTCTAACCTAGTACGCTACCTACTACCCCATGCCACAACGTAACTGTGAGTCGTAAAACTACTATTTATCCGAATAACTCGCCCTTCAACTTTATGTTTTCAAGTCGCACAGTCAAGACTGACACGATATTCCTTTTCAAATAACAATTGCGTCTTGATTCGACAGTGACGAACGACTTCTGGGTACCGACTTACGCGCGGATATTAGCAAGAGCGCAAAGTTTTTTGAAGCATCTACATCTTTGCTCTAAAAATCTCTAATTGACTGGAGGAGAAGGCACAGATTGTGAGCTGGTGCTGCCGATAGTTTTTTTTTTCCTTTGATTGTCGGTTCTAGCACTTGCTACGGGTCAACAAGTACAGATGATTTACATGTGTTATTTGGTAAATATCCATGCACACGAGTGAATATTGAGTATTTTTTTCGCGCAATCAACGATGTAGCAGTACACATCCAGCGTGCAAGATTACATATATGCAGTTATATCGATACCTGCAACTAAGAAACCACCGAAGAAGTGACTAATGCAATCTGCTGAAAAAGTATGCCAGTATGTTAGTTCACTAACGCGTACCAAATCACCAACTGGAAATTGCGTGTTCTTACGTACGAGTCAGAGAAGTACCGGCTCCTGCGCTCAGAAGGAAGCTTTCGGTGACAGCCTACGTTGCTGAAAGCACGAGACATCGCTCGTCGCCGCTACTTGTACGGGCACCGCACACGCGAATAAATAGTTGAGTTAGGTTCAGGGATCTCTAAAGTATACTTTACAGCCATTCTTACACTTTAGAA